TGGTGGTGGTGGGGTGGAGGCTCTTTTTGTCTCAGAGCCGCCCTTTCTGGGCAGGGTTTTCCAGAGTGGGAAGAGTGGAATACTTTTCTCAAGCGCACTACTGACTGAAGCAGGCTGCCACCAAGAAAGAGCTGGTGGGCCTGGCTCGTCCATTAAGCCTTTTTCTTCCAACTGCCGTGTCAGGCAAGGCAGGGAGCCGAGGGCATGAACTCTGCCCTTACCATTGAGGGTACGAAGTCTAGAGGCCTGAGCCAAGGACGCCTGGGAAACGAAATCACAGCTGCACTTCTCGCAAACCATGCTTTGGAGTACATAATTCTGCCTCCTTCATCAACCCAGGGCAGACTGTTGGTGAGGACCCCATGTGACAGGGCCTCCGTCAGCCCTTCCAGGTGGTCTTCTCTTGGGGGCAGACGGCCCAACAGAGCAGCTGAGTGGGTTTGGACTGCGTCACCCTTCACTAGGTAGCTGCGCACTTAACCATCAGAGCCCCAGGGGCCAGGGACTCAAGCACAAATTCCTGTGGCGGTGATGCTGACTCGCAGCCATCTTGCAGAACAGGACAGAACTGCCCCCTGTGGGTTTCCGAGACGGTAACTCTTTATGCGAGTAGAAAGCCTCATCTTTCTCCCTCAGAGAAGTTGGTGGTGTTGAACAGCTGACCTTGTAGTGAGCAGCCCACTGTGCAACAATTGCACTGGGTGTGTGTGTGGGGGCACTCCTTCTGGAGCAGAGACTAGGCCTCCCCAATTGAATAGCTCCCTCCTAAGCTTTCCTATCTGCAGAGCTCAGGGCAGGCTCTGGGGCCCGGGAGCGCTTGGACTGTGGTGGGAACCCAGCAAAGCCTCCTGCAGAAGCCCAGGGCTCCTTCTGCTACCCACTCGGCTCGGCATCCGCTTGCAGGAACAGCCTGCTCAAGGGAGCCAGTAAGGAGGCTGAAATGCTCCCACCACAACTGGAGGAGGGGGAGACGGGAGGGGAGTGAGAAAAGAGGGGAAAGGATTTTCATAGGCCGCTGACTCTCTGACTCTCTCTCCCCCTCCCCCGACGCTGGCAGTCCCTGCCCCCCACTCCCCCATGCCCTATCTTGCTGCCTTCCTCAAATAGGCCCACCTTCTCCAGACAGTTGGGAGACTGGGATGTAATTCCAGGGCCTGGAGTCCCGTGGGCTGACCTTGGTCAGAGCCACAGCGCTGGGCAGCTGAAGATGCTGTCCTGATGTGGCTGGAACTGAGCTGGACAGACAGTCAATGAACAGCAACCCACAGGGGCTTGGGACAAAGGCCTGATCAGGATGGGGCAGCAGGGAGAGGTTCCAAGGGAGAGAGGTCAGGCATGCAGGGTCCGGCTCTGGGAGGGGGGAAAGAGTCAAGTGAGGCTTTGGAGACCAGGGGTGTCAGAGAGAGCTACCTGGCGGAAAGCAAGCCCACTTTGTTCATAATTCGGGAGGATTCTTTGGGGCGCAATCCACGCACTTGGAGAAGGGAGGGGACACACAACTCGGGGATACCCTCATCACCTCCTTTCTTGCCTTCCAGGGTTGAAATGGTTTCCCTGAAGTGAGGGAGTTCTTTGGAGTCCGCTCTGAGGAGAAGGTCGGAGTCAGGGGATGGACGAGGCATGAGCTCAAACCAAGCTCACCGCCGGCAGTCTATGCTGACCATAGGGCCCCTGTGGGACAGGGTGGAACTGCCCCTGTGGGTTTCCAAGAGTGTCCCTCTTTATGGGGGTAGACAGCCCGTCTTTCTCCCTGGGGGAGGCTGGTGGTTTTGAAGTGCAGACTTTGCAGTGAGCAGTTCCATGAGTGACCATGATGCCACCAGGGCTGGCCATGTCCAAAGCAAACACAGCCGTGGTTGGGAAGTTGATTCCAGCTCGTTGGGCCGCTGTAGGACGGGGCAGAGCTACCTGGCAGGGTCTCCAAGGCAGTCATCTTTATGGGTACACTCTGCCGCCTATCTCCTTGATGGGGGCGTGTGGGTTTGAACTACTGACTTTTTGGTTAGCCACTGGGGCCTCAACGTTCTTGGTATTATTTGGTGTTGTTTGGTTTTGTCTTTGGGGGGCGGGGGGCGTCTAGTCCACAGCTTCCCAGTGTCAGCTTTCTGATGTCAGGACGTATGTAAAAGATAGTAATGCTGTTTGGCATGCTTGGAAGAACCAGAGGGGATGAGTCGGGTCTCAGAGGCGACTGTGAGTGGCCAGAGTTGCGCAGCCAAGGCTCTGGGCACCCCAGGAATCCAGGGCATCAGCATCTTCTCAGTGCTTTCTGGTCAACCAGCTACCTCACCCATGATGGGAAGGGGCTTGAGACAGGATCCAGGAGGGGAGACAGCCTGGCAGGGTGTTCCAGCAAGCAGATGGCGCTGGGCATTCACAGAGGGTGGGGCTGTTTCCATGGCAGATAACAGAGAACTCCCACAGCTTTCAACCCACGTTAGGGACAGACACCCAGCGGGAGAGGGCTGAGACCATGTGATCTGGTAAACGGCGGCTGTCATATCCCATGTGTCTGCTTGGGGCCTGCTGAGCTCCACTCTTTTCGGGTGCCGAGTGGTGTGCGGCCGAGCCTGGCTTCTGGTGCTTGGATGAGGAGCTTCCGAGGAGGTGACTCACCATGAGAGAGGTGAGGAAAGAGGCAGAGTGGGTGGGGAAGGGGGCTCCCCAGTGATAACACACTGCCATTTACAGATAAGCCTTCACCTTAGGCTATGGAGGGACGGCCCCCTGGCCCCATGATGGAAAGAGGTGGTCCTCGCTCCCCAAGCTCCTGTATTCCATTCCGCCCTGGCCTCTATGCAATGTCGATTTTAGACACCAACAGGCTCAAACCCCTTGCCATCGAGTGGCTTTGGACTCAGCAACCCTAGAGCTCCTTGGGGTTTCCAAAGCTGCCATCTTTTTTTTTTTTTTTTTAAAGCTGCCATCTTTATGGAAGCCAACTGCTGCAGTTTCCTCCAGCTGAGCGGCCGGTGGGTTCAAACTGCTGACAATGCGGTGAGCAGCTGAGCTCTTAACCACTGCACCACTAGGGCTCCTTCTTAGGCACCAGACTCAGAACGACCGTAATGGAGCAGGAGGTTCTGTCCTTCTCCTATGGAGTAGAGTGGCTGCTGGTTTCCCGGCGTTGAGCTTGCAGCCAGCAACCCACCTCGTCACTCACGGAGACACTGGGGGCTTCGGGCCCTTCTGAGAACCAAAGGCAGGTCCAAGGGGGCCTCTAGGCATACACAAAAGTGTTGCTCTTTCTTTGTTAATAATCCCAGCCTCCTTCGCTGTGATTTTCAGCCTCCTCCAATCTCCAAGGTGACTTCTGCCCTCTTGTCGGTGGTGCTGTTAACCCACACACCCTGAAGATCCTACGTGTGTGAGGTCTTTCTCTCATCATGAGTGTCACTCGGGTTCCTAATTGTCTCCTCTTCAGACGTCACGCTCCATGAAGGATGGTGTTGGGAGCCCTGTCACACTCTAACCACCAGCACAGTCCCCTGGACTCAGCAAGGCCTTAGTAAGTAACTGCCTGACAAAAGACCAGCTAATATAACGTGTGGAGCAATGGTCCACAGACCAATGCTAATCTCCTCAAGATGCCACACGAGCCCCACCTTGTAGGCGAGGACACAAAGGCTGCAGAAGGCCAAAGAACTTGGCCAACGGGCACAGTCAAGGCTGGAACCCACACCTGGCTGATTCCAAAGCCGGGGCTGCTTCAAGCGTCGGCTCAGGAGCTTCACACCCGGTGGCTTTCTCCCTGCCTCGACATTCACCCTGCACTCTCGCTCCTGCTCAGGCAGACAAGCGCCCAGCAAGTGCCCATCAGACACCGCCCCACCCGCTGCTCCCCTCCAGAGGGCCTGAAATTACAATGGAGAGAGCGCCATCTAGGATTAAAAATCAATAACCAAACAGGCAAACGGCCCCTCTCCCGAAACTGTGGGGGCCCCTCTCCCGAAACTGTGGGTCACGCCCGGGGCTTCTGGCAACCTACCGGCATAGTGGTAATTTGCTAGAGGGTGATATTTTAACCTGACTGGCTTCCGCAGCAACAGCGTCTCCAGAGCAGCCTGCAGACCCAACAGAGAGAAAAGGCGAGGGCGTCAGTTGTGGGGCTGGGTGTTTTGGGAGACCATCTACCCAGAGGGGAGGGGTCGGCTCTGTGGTGACCCTAGGAGGGGGCCACTGAAGGAAAACCAGGTAGTGCCTTCTCTTCTAGAAGTTTCCTTTGCTGGGTGCCCCATATCCTCCCCCTGCCACCACCCTTGCAGTCAGCTGGCCAGGTCAGAGAAAGAGGGTGCGGCAGCAGGGGCAGGCTCCTTCCTCAGAGAGGGCCCCCCAAGCCTCAGAGGTGGGTGGGGCATCCTCTGAATGGAGGGTGGGTCTCCAGGGACTGGCTCTGAGGAAATGCGTGGGTGACGGGTCCCTTGTTTTTTTACAAGGAAAAAAACCCCAAACGTATTTCATTATAATTGAACACAAACATCTGTATTAGTAATAACTATACCACACATCTATTATTCCCAGAGAGCCGAGCTTAAACCCTCTCCAACTTCTTCAAGCCCCTTCCGCCTCCATCAGGTCCGTCAACCATGTCTTAAAATATGCTGCAGGCTGAGTTGAGCAGTGGGTGGCTTAGGGGCAGAGCAAAGTCTTGATTTTTGCTACTCTAACTGTGGTCCACACACAGGGCCTGGAGCAAGGGGCAGCTCCTGGGGGCTTGTTAGAAATGCAGAAACTTCAGCCCCACCCCAGACCTGCTGAATCAGAACCTGCGTTTTAACAAGATACCCAAGTGACTATTGTCCTCGTGCATACCGAGAAGCACAACTTGTTTTGCAATGTGCTCTCAGAGGGTCAAGGGTAATTCCCTTAGATTCTCGAAAACACATCTAGGGTGTTAACAATCTCGTGAGGGAGTCTCCTATGGGGGAATTTGGGTAAGTAGACATCTTCTTAACATCCCCAAAGCAGGATGCTAGATCTGGTAGCAGGAAGTACCGTGCTGCGGCAGAGGTGGAGCCTGAGGCCAGGGTTGGCGTGCCACCTCAATAAGCAAACCATCGGCTGCCACTCAGAAGAGAGGTGCCAAAGCCTGAAGGTTTGGGGGCACCCAAGGAACCACAGCAGAGGTTGAGCCTCGATCTGGACCAAAGCAGTTAACTGTTCAGTAAACACTTCATTTTAGGGAGAGAAGAAAACAGTTCAATGTCGGACCAGCAAACGGGCTGGTTTCCACTGGGGGAGGAAAGTAACGGCATTTTTAGCTCCATCTTGTTTCAGTGAGGCCTTCGGGCTCCACCCTTGGAGACCTGGTTCTCTGACCTGAAGCACAAGACTTCTGAAAAGAAATCATTCTCATTGTTCAAGGGCGGGTCTATTCCATCATAGCTCTGGGACAAGAAACATAAACAAGAAGGGATTTCTTCCCACAGGCATTTAAACGTTGACCTGCTCACTGAGAAAAGGATAGATGGCCTGGGGGGCAAAAAGTGATCCGCCTCACTCACCTGGGGAGTTGGTTCTATGGTGTGTGGGGCAATACAGGGGCTCGTATGGTCTCAGTTTGAATGAGAGAGACTGCTCTTGATTTCTTACCATCACATCACCTTTGGCCTCGAAGAGAGAGTGCAGAGCAAATTCAGAATTGGTCCCTCCACCTGGCAACGCGCTGGAACAGCATAAATTCAGGAGATTCTCCACTGTTGGGGGTAAGGAGAAACCACCGCCATCAGAGAGAGCTCAGGGTCATGGGAAGGCAAGTTTCCGTGGGATGTACCGACCCGGGGTGGGGGCTGAGATCCCAGTGAGAGAAACTAAATCCCTGCCACCCGCTCCTCCCTCGGCCAGTACCTCTTTGCTGGAGGACCTGGTTTTCTAGCTCTGGCCAGGGCTTCCACACCAGGGTGGCTCTGTGTGTGTCCTGGGCCAGTGCAGAGGCATCCTGGAGTTCCGGGATCTCTGCTTGGAATCTGAAGCCAATGTTGATGCGCCTTTAACGAGAAGAACAATTAAGAGCCCGGTGTTGAGTTGGATGACCAAGGCCAGGGGCAGTTGCCAGGAACTTGGGGAAGGAGGAGCCGGTCCTTCTGCAGTAAGAATGCAGGGGCATTTCCTCCTAGTGCAACCCTAAGATTCCAAGGATGACCTTGTCACTGGGATGAGGCTCAGCTTCAAGGCTGGGGACAGATGTTAAAGGAGAAGGGGACCGTCTGCCTGGGCCTTCGGAGAGAGAGGGTAGCTAGTCCCAAGACAGTGGCCCAGAGTGGGGCATCTACAAAGTACTTATTTCATGTTTTACCCCGTTCAGACTGCGTTCACATACACGACCCATCTGTCCCTCACAGAGACCTGGGATAGGAATCAAGTACGTAATACTTCCTCCCATTTAATCAATGAGTCACCTGGGACCAAGGAAGGTTCATGTTATTAAGATCAAATAACAAAACGGGTGTTGAAGCTGGGCCCCAAGTCGGATTTTCTATACCCTGACCCAGTCTACCCGCTGTTCTAAACCATGGGCCTACTCAAGAAAAGACCGCCTCTGCTCCTTCCTCTAAGTGCCTGCCTAAGCCCATCTGGAAGGAGCCTGTGAGAGAGCGAGGCACCAAGGCCTGAGCTGACTCTGCGTTACTAGGATGGGAGAGTAAGTGGCCACAGCTAAACCGGCCCACGGAGTTCAAGGTGGTGACCCTGGTTCTCTAAAGATGAAGATGCAAGCTTTTCGCTTGACTTTTCAGTCTTGGGGAAAATAGCTTGACACTACAGTACTCAAGGACTAGGGTGATCCTATGAATGAAGCAGAGTGGGGCTGTGGTTTGTTCAGTCGTACAGAGGGGTGCTGTGTGCTGGCACTGACTAGATAGCGCCTAACTACTACAATGGAAGGAGTCCTGTTCTGCTCTGAGAGCTACACGGTGGCTGTGGGTCAGCATCATCTCCACCACATCTGATGACCAGGTACAATGACTATCACTTCTGTCTCAGCGCTCCCCTCCCCGCCCTTGATCCCAGGAGTACTAACTGCACTTCTCAAAGTTCCTGATCATTTCCTCAACTGAGGCTTCTGTCGTGTGATGGGAGTTTTCCTTACGGTTCAACATCGACGGTCTGCTCCCCAGGGCCTGGTGTGATGGTCACACCACTGCCATCGATGCTACCTGAAACATAAACCAGAGGACACGGGTCAGGGACGAGGGAGCAGGAAGATACAAAGCCCAATCACTCCCATGATGGAGAAACTGAAGCAAGTGAGCAGCTACCCCATCAGGCTTAAGTCCCTCTCCTGCCCAGCCTATGACGGAGTTGCCCCCAACAGACTCCGGGGAGTTGGCTGGAAGGTGGGGCTAAATGGCCATTTCTCACCCGTGGTAAAGAGAAGTCACTCAAGTTTGCAAAAAGTCACTCTAGCCCACTAAGCTGTATTGGTTCTGTGAAACTATTCTTGCTTTGGGGAGATATTTCATCTTTATACATCCTGCTATAATGTCAAGTGTACCGCTAATCCTAGCAACGCTATGCGTATTTCAGTCGGTGTGTTTTTTTCTGGGCATCTGCTAGCACATCAATTTCAGGTGCAGCCTGTGCAAACGGGAACTGTTTCCTTATCCTACAGGGATTACAGCGATCCCTCTCTGGGGTTGTCTCTCCAGCTAGACTAGCAGCCTTGCTGAGGCAGAGAACCCCATCTCATTCCAAGTCAGCGGTTCTCAACCCCCCTCACGCCTCGACCCTTTCACACAGGGCCTCATGTGGTGGTGACCCCCAACCATAACATGATTTTCATTGTCACTTCTGTCATTTCGCTACTGTGATGAATCGGGCGACCCCTGTGACAGGGCCGTCCGACCCCCAGGTTGGGAACCGCCGCTCCCAGCCCGGAGCCCGCCCCATAGAACACCCACACTAGAGTCTGGAACGATGAGACCATTGTGGAACCCAAGAGCCACGCCCCCCACCCTCCTACCCACCCCGAGAACTCCCCGCGGGGACGGGACCCCCGCAGGGTGACTCACTGGAGCGGCAGAGCAGCACGCGGGGCGTGGGTGTCAGGGGCGTGAGGGGCAGCTGCGGGTGGGCGCCCGCGCCGTGGCCAGCGATGAGGACATTGCTGAAGAGGCCTGAGCCCTGGCGGACGGGGCTCAGCATGGGTGGGGGCGTGTAGGGGGGCAGCTCGTGGGCGGGGTCCAGGAGCAGGTGCTCCCCGAGCACGCGCGGGGAGCGCAGCTGGCTCTGGTACAGAGTGGCCCCCGAGGAGGAGGAGGCGGGGTTCAGCGAGGAGGCGGGCGGTGGGGGGATGAAGAGCGGCTCGGGCCGGTGCCGGAACTTCTTCTTGTCCTGCACGGGCTTGGGGGGCTCGTCGGCTTTGGCCACGCTCGGCTGCGGCTTCCTGGGGGGGTCCTGCAGCGGGAAGGACGGGCGGCCCGTTGAAGACACGCGGGCCCAGAAGCGCGACGTCCCCGGGGGGGCCCGCCACCCCACGGCCCCCGCCACAGACACCACGTCGGGTCAGGCGGGAGGAGACGCGGGTCGTCGGGGGACCCGTCGGTTGAGGGGTCCGGCGGGAGTGGGCTCTGAACGAACCCCCCCACCCCCACCCGGGGCCGGACGCCGGGCGCGGAGAACACCTGTCCTGTGAGGGCCCCGCGTTTGAAGGCAAGTTTCCGTGGGATGTACCGACCCGGGG